CCTGCTGAAGTTAAAAGTCAGACTCTGCAGATACCCACCGCACCAAGAAAGGTCACTGTAGCCTCCCCTGAGGAGGGCACCCACCAGCCACCTCCTGCAAGCTCCAACTCCCCCCCCGAAGCACCTTCTGGTATTCTGCCTTTCGCAGGCTAACATTTCCTCTCAATAACAAGAGAGACCCCAGCCAACAAGCCAAAAAATGTTATTAAGCTGTGGCTTCAAAACCAAATCACTGGTTTTGCCAGGATGCAGCTGGGACTTGCCCCGACGTACCATCCCTGGAGCCCACCACTGCCCGTTAGCAACCATTAACATCAAAAAGCTGAAACCACCGAGCTATCCTACCAGCACCACGCCAGTCCACAGGCTTGCTTAAAATTACGATATTTGACAGCAAAAGAGGGCTGACATGGGTGTACATCAACTCCAGCTGCACTGGGACGTGCTGGGAGCTGGATGACAGCTCTGAATGGCAGCCCAGCTTGACAATGATCCGTCTTTTTTCCCCAAAAGTTTTGATAACGTGGCAAGTGCCACACACAAAATCAAACCTGGCTCTGTGCTTCAATATCTGTGAACACAGAGAGAAGAAGAAACCCCAGAAATTAGCGTTTCTGAACTCAAAATGTCTCCTACTCAAAAGGTGTCTTTTCCTGCAATTATTTCTGTTCTGGGGGACATTTTTACTCTCTCTAGATAAAATAACAAGTTTTGCAGACTTGTTGCTGCAGTAACCAAAGGGTGATGGCTGCCGTACAATGGGAGCAGTGTTCTAACTAGGACATGCCCCGCGACGCCGTGCTGTGCCATGGCATCCTATCGCAGGCATGGGGCTGCAAGCACCCCCACCCTCCCCGCTCCCTCCTTCCCTAAAAAGCTGGAATACCAGGAGGATGCCCCTTGCCCGTGGAGCTGCACCGCGGCAGAGCGGCATTTCCTTCCGTGATTACGAACCAACAGCAGCAGAACAACTCACATGATGTTTTAAAACTAACTTCTCTTGCTATCACAGCCTGTCTGTGCAAAGTGGCAGGGCTTTGGGGTGCTGATGTGCAGTCCCATCGACATAAAGAATTTTCACCAGCTGCAGTATTTCCCTGTTTAATAGCATTCCCAAGTATCCAGGCATCCTCTCCTTGGAGATGGGAGTCATCTTCCGCACACACAGAGGAAGCATCTAAAAGACCTGCTACGTTTCTGGTGCTTTCAAACAGTGATAAGCAGAGTATATCCAATTAAATACTAGTATTTTTTTCCAGCTTAAACAAATCAAAAGCAGATGGGCGCTAGGTATGGGGGAACCAACATGCAGAGAGCGCCCGCTCTGTTGTCCTTCCCGGGCTTTTTGGCTCTGGCAAGGCATGCTCGCCAAGGCGGGCTACAGCAGTGCAAGGGCCGCTGCAAAATAAATGCAGATCTTGAGGGGAGAAGAAGCAGCAGGGATGGAGGACACCACCATCACCTCCCACCCAGAGTTACACACAGGCTGAACTAAAAGGTAAAATTACACATACGCCACACGTGCCCTACTGTTCTGCTGATAAATCCCAGAAACCAGATGGGGATGTTCTCTTCTCTTCTGGCAACAAAAGATAGGTGCATGATGCTATTAGGGGTAAAACAGAATTTGGCAAGAGGTTTTTGTGCTAAATGCACGTCCCTGAGCTATCAGGCGACGGGATAGGTGAGGGTGAGGCCGTGCCCGTGCATGGGGCTCCTGCTAATCACAGGCAGCTCGTCAGGGCGAGCGCTCCCCAGCGCCGGGCTCTCCACGGAGCCGCCGCTTCAGCTGCCCGGCAGAGGCACGAAAACCATCGCAGCCCCTCACAAGCACAACCCTCTGCCCAGGCTGTGTAAAACTGCATTTTTCACTTTTTATTTTTACTTTTACCTAATGACTCAGGTCAAAAGCACCCACGATATTCATCACCACCTAAAAAACAGCAGATGTTCAGCTGCTGACGGGAAGCTGGGCAGACTGGTACGGATTCTCAGAAAGTTTCTTAGGGGTCTCCAGTTATTTTTTGAGCAGTATAAAGGCTGCGGGTCTCCAGGGAAAGTAGCTGCAATCAATACAACAAATGAGACAGAGTTCAGAGCAGGAGTGGCAGGGAGAAGGTCCTCGCTGCTTGTGACCCAATACTGCTATAATATAGAATAGAATATAATATAGAATATAGATTATATAGAATATAATATAGAATAGAATTCAGCCTGGAACGGCCATCAGCCATGCCTGCCTCCTGCCCGCTTCTTCATCAAGACTGCCGTCACTGAAGAAATTCAACACCTACAACGTCCAACTGGCAAACAGCTACAGCGGACAAGGGCAAACCTACCTCCTCTACCACTTTCCATAGGCAAACACTCAAAAAAACCCACATTTTGGGCCAAACAGATCCTAAGGTAGCAATAATGAGGCAAGGCAAGAGAAAGATCAGCACAAGCGCTGTGTTCATGCTACCTTCCTGGAGAAATTTCGAAGGGTTTGGTGTCAAACCTGTTTCCTGAAAGAAAAGCAGCTTTTCAGGAAAAAAATGCTGTCACACCAACACCTGCGCCGAGAGGTCGGTGAAAGCCTGCCTTGAAGAAATTCTTTGCTTTTGAAGACATCGCATTTCCTACACACAGAGCCATCAAGAAGCCATCATTTCTTCCTGTGAAATCAAATACTTCACAAAACAAACTAAAATTTGGGCTAAAAAACGCAAGTGTAACTCAATCCACTATTCTATTTTGGTTACATCTGTCCTGCTGGCTCGCTGTCTATAAATCTCTTATTAAACATGAGCATGAATCATTTTTTGGACTTTGTTTCCATTAAAGCACTAGCACAAATTCAACAATTCAATACTAAACAAAACCGACCGAAGATTTAGGCCTTTCAGTGCCACCTCGATTCAGCAGATAGCAATCGGTTATGTAAAGAAGCGGGATACAAGAGACACTTTGGTCCCATGTTTTCAAAGAAAGCCAGTCTGTTTGGCCTTTATGCTCTGAAGAACAGGATAGTATTTACTTCTAATTAATTTGTATCTTCGGAGGGCAGTGGCTCCTTCCCTTTGAATGAAAGGGCAAACAATGTGAAGTATTGTTTAATACGGTTTTGTTCTCGACCAAGAAAAGAGCCTACCAGCTAGCAGAGAGGGGCAGGAAATCATTACAGAGGAAGCAATGAAAGCTGCCAGCCGAACACTGGTATATTTTATTTATTCAGATATATGCTTTCATCTCCAACTTATAGGGATGCTGCAGCTGGCAACAAGTGGTCCAGAATGGGAAATACCCCGGGTTTTCTGCCTGAAGAAGCAACCTCAAACCAACTCACTGGTCCGTGCTCAGAGGAATGCTGGAGTCATGGGAATTACCAGGGCTCCATGGCTCCAGGCTTTGCGTGATGCTAGGGGCACATGTCCTCCTTGTCCCTAAAACGTACCGTCCAGCTTAGAGGTCCATTACACCGCCCTCTTGCTGAGCCCGTGATGGTTTTGGTGACACCAGGATGGTTGCACGTCCTGCCCGAGGTGCCTGGGACCAGAGATGCTGAGCCCACACAGCTCCTGCCGACCCTCATCGGTGATGGGCAACAAGCTGCTCGGGCGAGTGCCCGGGGTCTGGCAGTGCTGGGAACTGCTGGCCACGCGCCGGGCACCACTATTCACTTATTCTAGTTCCTGACAATGGAAACACCAGGGCTTCAAAATTGTTCATGTACACCCAATTCCCACCAGTCTGGGTTCTCCTCTTGACCATTTACTGGATATAAACCTCAACATACTCCTGTGTGTTAGAAACAACCATTTCTGTTTTAGGAATGGAATTTTGAGATACAGAAAGATCAGAGTGACGGACCCTCACCCAAAAGTTAACATTTACAGAGCCCCAACATGGAACCACAAGTCGCGAGCCCTGGTCCACCGCGATGGCTGCAAAACCGTCTCCTCTGCTCCACCACCAGTCACCATGTACGCAAACACATGGATAATTCTCCCCTGTTCTCTACACGGCGAGAAGTTTCTTTTCAAATAGCAATATTTTACAGACATTTTTATCCCATTAGCCTATTTTCCACTGGCAGTGAGACTACCCCAAAAATAGCATCCCCGCCGCAGCCCTGGCATCGCCAGCATCTGCCTGCATATGTAAACCTGTACCACAGAGGACACACGCACGCACCGCGGGACAGATATATGATATAGTCCCAACCGGGATAGTTTATGTTTTACAAATAGTACGTTTATAACAACGTACTGGAATGTAGAGATTTGATTTGTGACCTATTTATACAGGGAGGTAATCTGGAATTAGTATAGGAAAAATATTACTGGTTTATAAATACCCCTATCTTGCCTTCGTTTCAGATCTCAGCCAGGAGTGAAACATCTGCCAACCTAAAATTAAACATCTGTGTTTTACGGGGAGGAAACGGGGACTGGAAGTTTAACGCCAAAAAAGGCCAGAGGCTGCGTGCCCCCGGCGTGGGGCTCTGCCTTCCTCCGGCTGCTCAGCGCCAGCGGTCCCCGTGCCGGGATGGGCGATGCCGGCGCTGGCCGGCTCCCGTCGGCACACAGCGGCACATTCAGCCGTGGGGCTGTTTGCAGCCGTTCAAAGACCCTCAATGAAAAGCCAAAGGAAAAGTGCTCTGGTGAATAAACAGGGCATCCTCTTTTCACCACTTTATTTCCTAAAAAACCCACTAGCTCTTTGCTGGCAAGCATCCCCCTGCGCACAGCACAGCGTCAGACCGGCCACCGCACGGCACCGGGCCTCGCAGGATCAGATCACCCTTCCCACAGTTAGAACCAGCTACTTTATTACGGCGGCAATTGCGGGGGGGGGGAGCCGTGATTTACATCGTTGCAGCGTGTCGTTCCCAGGCTTCGTTCGGGATGCTGCACGGCTCTGCGCCGGAGCCGCTCATTACGGATTCTGGGTTGTTTCTTGCCCTCTTTCCTTACTGTCAGGAATCAGAGGCCAGGAGAGAAAACTATTCTCTCAGCTAATTACCACAACTATTCTATAATGGCTATTTTAGATGAATTTTTAATGAAGTGTGCTCTTGTCAGTTCGGAATTTCATAACTTTCAAGTCCAGCCTTTACGTTCCAGCCATTTGCTGCATAAAGATTTCTCCTCTCCCCTGCAAACCGGCGCAGCAGGAGGAGGGGAGGAGGATGGACCCTCGCAACTTCGCTTGCGCCTGTCAAAATTAAATTAACTGTATCTGCTAAGCAGCAAGCTGACTGACAAGAATGCGGTTCAGTGCAGAAAAACGCCGAGCATCTGCAAGTCCTGCCGAAACCCACTTCAGATCAGGCCCACGACACTGTAATTAACAAGGATAAAAATACTTTGCTTTTGTTTAATATTTTCTGGAGTTGTGCATTCCTCAGATCAGATGCTAGAAACCTCATTAAGTCTCACTCGTGTCCTCAAGGCCCACATGTTCTCCACAACCAGATCTAGTTATAGAATAAGGAGCCATTTTACTGCGATGCTCCCAGCCTGCCACAGCAGCAGGCGGGCACGGGGACAGCGGCGGTGACACCACGGCCACCGAATGCGGCCAGAAGGAGGTGGGAGCTGATGCACCTTTTCCTACATCCCTCTGCAAGGTGCCACCCTGTCTATCGACACCTAAAGCTAACCCTCCCATCGGCCTGTGTTTAAGACTGAGCTTATCCTTCCATTTATCTGTTGTTGCTTTTGCAGGTCCAACACCTTCCCTGGTCCATCACACCAGTGCCACCACGGCGGGAGGCACGTCACTTAACGAGACCTCCTCCTCGCTCCCTCTACCACCATCAAACCCTTCGCCAAGGTGATGATGTGCTCCTTGTCTCTCTGATCCCGGCTTTGGAGATGTGTCTCTGATCCTGGCTTTGGAGATTTGGTGTGGTTCTGACTATAAAAAGGGGTGAACAAAAATAAATAACCCCCCCCCCCCCCCAGCCTCGTGAGCCCCTGGGCTCAGCACAGTCCTGCCAAGAGTCTTCCCCTGCCCCACGCTGCCCGGCCTCGGGGGCGGTGGGTGATGCTCAAGGCAGGCGATGCTCAAGGGAAGCGAGGAGCATCAGCGTCCCACCACACGCTCGCCGGCGTTAGCTCAGTCAACGCTTCAGCCGCGGAATGACAAAGTGGAGAAAAAGGAGGAAAAAAAAAAACCTCTCTGAAATTCAGGGCTTCATCTGCTGTGCTCTTCTTTGGCTTTGTTTTTGTTTTTACAAACGGGGCTCTTGGAAACCTTGGCAATCACTATTTTAAAGGGCTCCCCCCTCCCCCAGGCCTTTGTAAGGCTGTCGGGATCTACATGCCAGGAGCAGGATTAGCTGGCTTTCTCTCTTCCATCTTATGGTTTTATTATTCTGCACCTTTTGAGGGTACAGTTTATCCCGAGTAATTAAAACACAGTTAGCTGTACAAGTCCAAACCATAATGGAATAGCTTAGGTTTTATTTTTTTAATCTCTTTTTTGTGTGCCCTCTTTTCCAGGAAGCCTGATACTAGAGCTGGCTTATTTAAAACAGGAAACTCCCTTGAAATGTGCTGGTGCGGAAGAGAGATTTTAGCAGTAATGTGGTATATTAGAGCCTTACAGCCCGGCCGGGCAGCGTCGTGCTCCCGACCTGCCTCCTCCCTGCATGGCCCTTGCCTCGGCATCACGACGCGGTTCAAGTCTTCCCCCTACAGAAACCAAGTAGGAAAACTTCGCTGCGAGATGCCCAGCTCCGACACGAGGGCTGGATGGCTGCAGCATCTCCAGTGACGCCCAAAAAAGCCGCTCGTATTTTCACTTTTCCAACCGGGATGACTCCCGCACCGCAAGAATCAGGTACAGCCTAATAGCTGCTGCCTGCACCATCCCAGGGCTGGTCCTGCCCTCGCCTTCTGAATTTATTTTTTTCTGTCACTGCATGAACTGGCCCCGTGACAGCGAAGGAAAACACCGTGTCCAAGGGTATAATCCCATTGCTCTGAGGAATAATGCTGCGAGCCCAGGCGCTGAAGGCAAACCCACATTACTCACCGCATGCTCTACAGCGGGGAAGTGCAAAGCAAAATAAAAACAAAACCAGTGTGTGGGAAAACAGCCTGGTTTCTCTTCGGTCTGACTCTAACAGCAGCCGGGGCATGGGGCCCTGCTCCAGCGGGGTGGGTGGCTGTGGAGGAGACCTTGACCTTGTCCCCATCCCCTGATCCCACTCCTCTTCGCCTGCTGGGTACCAACCGCTGGGACTCGGAGTGTGGCACAGAGAACAGAGAGGCTTTTGAGGCTCATTTTCTACAATGGGCTTGTCTACTTTTCTCAGCAAATTTTTCTGATATTAAAATAGTAACATTGCTACCAGTATGCTTTCCCCCTTTCGCATACGGCTGGGGAAAAACGCTTGGAAAATGTTGCTTATCTGCTTGCTACCTGGCAGGGCGACATGCCAAGGGGACGCTGAGCTCCTGCTCTTTGGGACGGGATGGGCATGAGCCAGTTCTCAGTACTAGGGAAAGCCTGGCTTTAGGTAACGGAAAAGGCCGTATTTGTCAAATCTTCTCCCTTGCTTAAGAATAAAATCAAACAGCTTTGAGGAAAGCATGCCAGCTTTCCAACAAACAAGAGTTAAATATTTGCAAAATCAGTCCAGCAATTTTGCTGGAAAGTGGCTCCAGGCGAGAGGATGCCCCGCGCTGCCAGAGCCGGCGTGAAGATGTCCCTCCCCGGGGAGTGCCCGCGGATCAAAGCTGCCGCCACAAACACCTGCAGCTCCGATGGGGAGGCCGCTGCGCCGAGGCTGAGCCTCCGTGCAGGATGCTGCGAGCTTCATCTGCACGGGATGCTGCGAGCTGCCTCCGCGTGGGATGCGGGCACGCCAGCGACACAGCCGGGCATCTCCCCCTCTGGTCCTGAGCCCCCGGCTCCGTACCCCCAACCGGCCCCTGCTCCTCAGCGGGGTCCAAGCCCTGCAAGGTGCTCGGCGGCAGGGTGTGCATGCCCGAGGAAGCCCTCTCCTGAGCGGGAAGCGAGAGGGATGGGGCCTTGTGCCCCCGCACCCATCCTGGGGCTGAGCCGGCAGCTCCCGGCTGAGCACCACCAAAGTGAAGCCACCTCCTCTGTCTAAGGCACACCTAGGGACTCACCTGACAGAGAAACAAAATATTATCAAGAGGCCCCCAAATTTTTCCTTTTTGACAGCAATGTGCTGGGCAAGGCTGGCAAAGGAAAGGGCAGTCACTTCAGGCGGTGGGCATAAAAGTCCTTCTTTTCTTCTATTTGCAGATATTCCTAATTAACATCTATGAAAATGATTTATTTGATGTTTTTCTCCCTTCCTCCAAATGTCACATGTTCATCACTTCTTAAAAATTTTTATTCTAAAAGGGCAGGACAGAAAGAACGTGCGCTGCACCTCGCTGAAGACTAACTCCCAGACTGACCACCTAACCAAGGGCCAAGGCCTCCATTCCCACGGATGCCCATCCCTCTCGGATGACCCACGGCAGGTGAGCTCAGCCATCACCGTGGGATGGGTGTCACCACCACACGGCTCGTGTAACTGCCAGGCTTGTCGACAGCCTCAGCCAAAACGTGAAGGGCTAAGCCAACCGTGGTGGATGACGCAGCCTCTCTTATCTAAAGAGCCTCTCAGCTGGGGACACAGCCCATGAGCAATGGCACGGGGGGACCTGCCCATGCCACACTCAGACACCAACACTGAGCCCACCACGTGCACCGCCTTCTGCACCGCGCTACATAAATAAACAAACCGAGCCCCCGAAAACAAAAGCCTGACAAACAAGCCCAAAACTACCCGTGCTGGCTGGAGAAGGACCAAGCAACCACTGAAGGAGAGCAGCAAACCCAAGGAGAGAGACCGTCCATTACCAGAGTAGCCTCCCGAGGACTTGATGTACATCTGCCCGTACTGCTCCTCCACCATGGTGTCATATGCCTCGTCGTCCTCCTCATCCTCCTCGTTGTGGTAGGAGGTGGGGCTGTCAGTGGTGGGAATGCTGCTGGCGCCGGGGCTCGTCCGCTCCCCCTGCGAGTACTGGACCTGCTGGACGTTGGGGATGAGGGTGGCCAGGTTGGGCATCCCGTAGTAGGAGACGCGAGAGAGCTTCAGGGGACCGGTGTTGGGGCCACCACTGCCTGCCCCCTCCCGGGCACCGGGCTCGAGGGGCCGCTTGCCGGGCAGGCCGGGCAGGGCAGCTGCCTGCAGCTCAAGGTTCTCGTGTTTGACGCGCGTGAGGAGTGGGATGGGCATGGAGGGGGACATGACGTAGGGCGCCGAGGCCGACTGCAGCTGGTTACAGGGGCTCTGCGGCTCTGAACTGGGGTCTTCGATCATGGTGGTCTGAGAGTCACAGTGGGGAGAGCTGACCTTGAACATCAAGTCCGTCCCTTTCTCCACGATGTGCTGGATCTGCAGGAAGCCCGCCGTGTACATCACCACCAGCTGCTCGCTCGCCGCCATGGTCAGCTTCCCGGTGTAGCAGAAGGAGAGGATCTGCTGGAAGCAAGCAGGGGGGACGGTACCTGGCAGCTCAAAGGCGTTTTTGCTGTTCCCACTGAACAAGTCTCGGAAGTAGAGGCTGCTGGCGGCCAGGACCGCCCGGTGCGCCTTGAAGGCTTGGCCCTTCACCACGATGGAGACATCGCAGTACAGCCCCAGCAGCCGCTGCTCGTTCAGGCAGCCCAGAACAGTGTTCCCAAAGTTGGGAATCTCTATGTGCAACATCTGCGACATGGCTCAGGATCGGCTGGAGCTCCTCAGACATTCAATGCAGGAATATCCAAAGTAGGGCACATCTGAAAAACGGAGAAGGCAGGGAGAGAGGCACAGTGTTTTTAGACAGTTCACCAAAGCAGGGAGAAGCAGAGGAACCCACCTCACCCGACATCGCAGGCTCAAAGCTAAGCTCTGAGGGCCGATGCAGAAAAGCAATCGCTTACAAAAATTACTTATTGATGGTTTCAAACAATGTTGGAAATGCTATTGGTGGATGGCAAGGGATATTCCAAAAATGCAAGTATTTTCTTCAAGTTGTAGTCTGTTTAAATAAGCACCACTGATTTATTCCCCCGGGGGTTTTACTTTATGCAGGAAAATCTGAACGGTAATGGGAAAGGAGTGAACAGTAAAGCAAACATAACATAGGCAGATCTTGGGTAGCATTATATAAGAAACACAACAACCAGCAGCTATGTTGAAACTACAGAAAAGATATTTATAAAACAATGTGCCATTCTGCCTGAAATAAATACAGGATTCTGCTGGAGCACAGCTCCCAGGAAAAAGCACTTTGAAAAGCAATCTTCCCATTTGCACCAGAAAGAGGGAGCATTTCAACAGTTAAACCCCTTCTCAACAGATTTATCCTCCAACAAAACGCGGCTTATCTCCAAATTAAGCCAGATATTTGAGCCCCAATAAAACAAACCAACGTGCCGCAGCGAGCCGCCTACCAAGTTGTCTCCTTATTTTTCTCCCCTACATCCAAAGTGGGGCAGGGGGGTACCGGCCCCAGCCCAGCCGCATCGGGGACCCCCCCGAGCAACCTCACACGAAACGGGCTCGAGGCGACGGCTCCGGCTCTGCATCCCACCGCGGCCGCTCTTTAAGGCCAGCTGTACCTTTTGGCCACGGGGATAATTCCTCCTCTCACCGACCAAATAAAGCCTTGCGTTCGAAGGGACCTCGTGCACAAACCCCCGTGCAACGGCGGAGCAGGTAGCGTTAGTGCAGCCCGTGCACCGAAACTCCAGCGAAGCAAATCACTGCGGATTCACCGACACCAGCCGGAGCCCAAACCCCCCCGGCTCCCCCCAAGCTCCACGCAAGAGTCCAGGAGATTTAAAATCTTGTTTGCCTTCAATACTACCAAAGAAAAACTATGGTTAACTAGTACTGAAAGCTCGTAAGAACAATATAAAAAAAAAGGGGAAAAAAAAAAAAAAAGAAGTTGATCTGAGAAAGATTAAAAAAAAAAATCTCTGAAAAGAAAATAATAACCCACAAAGAGCTGCTCTGTTCCCACTGCTGGGAAAAAAAAAAAAGTCCTATCTGCAAGGCCACGGGGTAACAGGAAGAAAAGGGAACACACTCGGAGCCAATTTAATTGTATCTGCATGGTTAAAAAAAATTCTTCCGAGCGAGGAAGTTCCCGGTCCCCTCGCCTGGCTGGGAGCGAACGTACCTTCAGCAGCGGCCGCTCGCCGGAGGGGCTCTGCGTCCCTCCGTATCGCCCCGGCCGCCACGCTATACGCAGCGACGATGATCACTCAGGGGAGGGGGGAAAAAAAAAATATATAGTATCAAACCCTGGGTTTGTATCTGCTGTAGCTCAAGCTTTTACCAAGTCAAATCTCCCCGGCAGTGCACAGCATCTAAATGAATAGGCCGGATGCAGATTAACATTCAGGCTGCTCTCTGCAATGAATAGAGCCCTTTGATTAGGGACCTGAAGTAAATGCCAGTTTCAAACCGAAGCTTTAAAAACAGAGAAATATCAGTGCCAGAGGAATGCTCTCAGTGTTGGTACAAGACAGACTTTTGATGAGTCACTGCAATGCAAACAAAGATGGCAGAAATACTGTACTGTATGCTGATGAAATGCTTAGTGGTGCCACGGCAACTGAGACAGGTTTTAAATTTATAGTGCAGTTTTGCATATGAATTACGCTGTAAACTGCCTCCCCTGCCATCTAGTACATCCAGAGTGTCAAAGCATTTAAACTATTCCAAACAGTCTGCAGAGCTGGCACTGCTGCTGGTTAACTCCTGCGCCGGAGGAAGGCGCAGGGCAGGGGCGGCGAGCATCCCCCAGCCTCCCCCCGCCCCACCCCAGGGGCTCCCCAAAACCAGCAGCCCAAAAGGAGAGCTCTGGGAATGCCCAAATCTGCCCCAAAATAAAGGTGCTCTGTGGGCAGCCACAGTCCTGACCCACCCCAAACTCACCCCCTCCGCCCCCCAAGAAAGCCTTTCAAATGCAGGAAAAATGTTTACCCCTTGGGGAAAGCTTCTTTCAGTCTGTGGCTGAATCCACTAAAAGCAAATCCATTTGCTTAAGTAATGAAATCCTAGTCACATTGTCTCCTGGATTCAGATTTTAAATTACCTTCGCATTTATTGAGCATGTTTGGTGCTTTTTTCTGGGAAAGAGGGTGGGGCCTCACTTTGCTTACTTCTCTCTTGCCCAGAGCGTTTTGATTTCTGCTGTTGCTCTCGGATTTGTTGCAATGGCTCCGCTCGGATGCTCACACACAGTTAAAATTTAAGAGATTAGAGGTGAAGCCATCCTTAGAGGAGGAGAACCGTAGGGAGCGCAGACAGGGCCGGTGATGCTCCGGCGCGACCCCTCCCTGCTGATTGCATGCTTCCTCCGCTTCCACTGGCCAAAGAGATGTTTGGTGCATTAAGTTCAACTCCACAGACAGCAAACTGCTGCCACTCCCGACCGCCCAAGGGCTGGCTGCCTTCCCCTGCTCTTCCAGCAAACGGCACTAACACATCTGCTCTGCATCCCACAGGACCTGCAGCCTCCCAGGGCTCGGCCGAGGCGTGACGCTCCCAGCTGAGGACCTCCAGGACCTCCATGCGTCGGGAACGTTCAACGGGTTCATCCAAACCTGGTGTGAGGTCAATGAGATCTCTGCCTGGTGTTGATGAGGAGGCTAAGGCACCGAGAGGGGACCAAGGTGACATCTTGCAAGGAGGTCAGAGAGGACACCATGATAGCCAAGCCCAAGAGCCCAAGACCTCTTCCAACCATGACACCACCAACCTCTTTTGGAGAAGGAAAGGAGTCTGCCCTGGCAAATGCAGATCCACTCTGGATCTGTGAAAATTACTGAAATTAAATGTGCTTTATAGAAACATAACTTTGCCACTCAGGCACCTGAAGGAAGCCTTGTCTGCAGATGGCAGACCATGGGTGGAGAAGGATCTCCTCCTCTTTTCTTCCAGCAAGAACTCCCTTAGAGCTGGAGGAGAGACCAGGGAGGCACTGGATGGGACCTCCCTGGACCCGCTCACAATCCCTGCCTTGGAGAAACCCAACAGGATGAGTGGGACCAGCCAAGGACAGTTTGGTAGCACAGAACAAACCAACTTAAAATAGATATCAATTATTAATATTGCTTAGAATCTGCTCTATAAATAAGCCAGGCATGCCAGGAGGAACCCACGTCTCTGTCTAAAACCACCAAAATTATGCCTGTTCAGGATACATTTAAGCTGGTGAGAAGCACCAGAGTGCCCCAGCCTAGCAAATTATTGGCAGATTTCATTTAAAACCTCCCATGAGACATCAGAGTTTGAACAAAGATGCTCCACACAACCGATCCCTCCCGGGGTATGCCTTCTGCAGGGCTGCAGCCTGGCCTGACCACCCCGAAGGGATCTCACCCCAGCACTGCATCACTCCAGCTCCCGGTGGCCTTTTCTCTGATTCCAGTAGCTTTCATAGCTGCTGGTCACAAAGCGGCCGAGCGAGCAGGTGAGCTTGCTGGTAGCACTCAGTGATGGTCTAAACCTCCACTCTTCCCGAAGAAAAAAGGCCTTGAAACACGCTCACAGGGAAATGGTGAAAAAAGTAACTGTGTTTGGTCCAGAAACAGCACCAAGGAACGCAAGTAAAGCCGTACCAGCGAGCTGCAGAAGTCCAAACCACTTCAATAAACCGTAGGCCAGGGCTGCTGGATTTTTGGTTCTTCCTCCCCTCTTTGCCCCTGCCTTTTTATGACCAGACTATAGAAAAAAAAAAAACCACAAAACCACCAACAAGCCAAAACCCCCCAGAAATCCAAGAAATAAAAGGCAGTCTTGAAAGCCAAGGAGAACCTGCTCACAAGACCTCACATCCCCTAAAAACAACAGCAACAAAATATTAGTGACTAGATAGTGAATGCAATAACACTTGATAATGTCTAACTTAAAAATCTCCTCTACAAAATACACTGCTTTTTTTCTTTCTTTTTTTTTTTTTTTTTAATAGAGCACCAAGCTGCTTTTGAATGGTTTGAAATGGCTTCAGTCCATTTGACACGGGAAGAACTATGCTGCAGGAAAAATGACCTTAGCAATTACAGATGTAAACTGTATTTTGCAATCTCGTCTCCCAGGCTGAGTGGTGCCCCAGGGTGCAGGAGGAGCCCCCAGCACCATTGCCACCCAAAAAAATCCCATCCCCTTTGGGCTGCCACGTCCTACAGGTGACACATCATCAGATGGACACCTCCTACCAAACGGGAAAACTTGGACAAAACTGGATTAAAACCAGCCAACCCCCACCGATCATTTAAGATATGTGACCGTTCAAGCAAAACATCATTTTGTTTTCTAATGGCAGCCTCTTTTTTCCAGCTCTTGGATATAGCAGGACAATTTGTACATGTCTGCATGATTTTTGTAAAGTCATAGCCTTTGTCACAAGATGTTCATAAAAAATGCAGCTGTTATTTGATACAACTTCCATGAGAGTCTGAGAATTCTCAGTTTCTGCGTTCACATGCTTTGGGGATAAAAAAGCAGGTTTGCTCTTTTCGAAACTACTTTCCTGCTCCGAGGCCTGAAAGGCGACAACAACAAAGGAAAAAAGCATCGACCTAGAATAAGATGCTGGCATCAGAGCTCCCCCAGGAGTAATCAGAAATAATTAGATAATGTATTTAAATTGTCTTTTTCCTTAGCCAACATACAAAGAGACTTGGGACTTCACTCCCCCCAAAAAAACCACCCCAGAGCCCTACGTTTCCCGCAGGAAGGTGCGCTGGGCAGCAGCTGGGCAGGGACAAAGGCAGGGACC